GAAGACTAACAGAGAAGAAGAAACTACCAAAATATAACCAAATTATCCTTTCTTGTCCCTATAATTAATTGAGTAGTTTAATCTCACATTTGGAAACATACTTTTGATCTAAAACATCTTCTTCCATAAATTCTTTCCACAAAAACAGCAGAATATGTTAAGAAATAAACAAGAGAATTGCTGAGTGACTAGAAAATACAAGAAAACCAAACTAAATATAAACCTTCACCTGAAATTGATTTGCTTGAAATGCCTGATTACCATCCTCGACTAAATGGAACATAAGACCGTACCTGTCCCATGGCAATGATCCCTCTCCTTCCTTTGCTTGCATTTAAAAACATTCTTCAAACTGCAAAAAATATCAAGTCATCAATGGTAAAATCAAATCTTAGCAAAAGAAATTTTAGAAACAATTCAGACTTTCAGAAAAATTTTCATACTAGAAAATAAATTCACCCCATTAAAAAATGAAAAACTTATCAATTCTAGTATACCTCAGAAATAAATATAACAAACATATTTATTAGAATACTAGGAATTTTCAGCAATCAAACAGAGAGATGAAAAAGAAACAACTGCAATAGAGCAATTAAATCTCATATCCTTAAAGAATAACCACAAATAAGACAAACAACTTCCTATGCGCTTACACAATTGCAGCATTTCAGGTTTCCAATTTTTCATTCTAACAAATTCACAGCCAATGAAAAACTCAATGAACAGAAAAACTAACATAGCAAAAATTAGAAAGAAAAAAACATAGGCATTCTCTTCACCAACATTTTAATTGCTCTATTAAAATTTGCTAAATATGAAATTCCCTAAAGAAACAGCAATCAAGCAGACATTGTTAAATTCAGTAAACATGAAATCATTCTCTTCAAAAGATTATATATATATATAAACGCATTTTCTTTGCCTACATTTTCTCAGAACACAAACACCTCAATGAGAACGGTATCAATGTCAAATAGACCTAAAAGAAACTAAAAAAAATTCAACAATAAGCAAAAGACAGTGAGTACGCACCTGATCGTAGTAGAGGACATCATCAATTGCCGGCAGGCATAATCGAGAACACGTCGTGAGGGCCACTGCACCCACTGGCACCTAGGAAATCCGGTTGACGCGGCGGACTAGCTCTACAAAACGATTGGAAACAGAGCACCGTTTCTATGTTTGAACACACCAAATGGCTCAGATCTATCTTCCAGAAAGCGCTAGAGAGCCGATCCGAGACTCCATGGCACAAGATCGGGGCTAAAAAACCTTAAAGAAACAGAGGAGTGAAAAACGCTCCATGGCAGATCTATCCAAATTGT